TGTGGCCTCTCCCGTTGTGGAGCACAGGCTCCGGACACACAGGCTCAGCGGCCATGGCTCACGGGCCCAGCCACTCCGCGGCATGTGGGATCTTCCCGGACCGGGGCACGAACCCGTGTCCCCTGCATCGGCAGGTGGACTCTCAACCACTGCGCCACCAGGGAAGCCCCCATTGAAATTTTGATAGGGATTGTATTGAATCTATAGATTGCTTTGGGTAGTATGGACATTTAAAAAATGTTAATTATTCTAATTCATGAACACAAAATTTCTTTCCATTTGTTTGTGTCTTCTTCAGTTTCTTTCATCAATGTCTTATAGTTTTCAGTGTATAGATCTTTCACTTCCTTGGTTAAGTTTATTCTTAAGTATCTTTTTCTTTTTGAAGTTATCATAAATGGGATTGTTTTCCTAATTTCTCTGATAGTTTATTAGTGTATAGAAATGCAAGTAATTTTTGTGTATTAATTTTGTATCCTGCAACTTTACTGACTTTGTTTATTTGTTCTAACAGTTTCTCTTTTTTTGGTGGAGTTTTAAAGTTTTCTATATATAATGTCACCTGCAAATAGAACAGGTTTACTTCTTCCTTTCTGATTTGGATGTCTTTTATTTATTTTTCTTGCCTAATTGCTCTGGCTAGGACTTCCAATACTATGTTGAATAAAAGTGGTGAGAATGGGCATCCTTGTCTTGTTCCTGATCTTTTATACCTGGAATAAATGCCACTTGATGCTTTTAATGTATTGTTGAATTTGGTTTGTTAATATTTTGTTGAGGATTCTTGCATCTATGTTCACATGTGATACTGGCCTGTAATTTTCTGTTCTTGTGGTATCCTTGTTTGGTTTTGGTAGTAGTGTAACACTGGGCTTGTAAAATGTGTTTGGAAATGTTCCCTCCTATTTTTTGGATGGGATTGAGAAGAATTGATATTAATTACTCTTTAAATGTTTGGTAGAATTCCCTAATGAAGCCATCTGGTTGTGGACCTTTTTTTGTTGTTGGAAGGTTTTTGATTAGTTGTTCAATCTTCTTACTAGTAATTCTTCTGTTCAGATTTTCTGTTTCTTCATGATTGTCTTAGTGGGTTGTATGTTTTTAGGGATCTAAATCTATCCATTTTTTCTAAGCTATCCAATTTGTTGGCATAAAATTGTTCAGAGTAGTCTCTTATGATCCTTTGTATTTGTGTGGTATCATTTGTAATGTCTCCTTTTTCTTTTCTGATTTTATTTATTTGAGTCCTCTCTCTTTGGTCTTGGTCAGTCTAGCTAAAGGTTTGCTTATTTTGTTTATCGTTTAAAAACCAGCTTAGTTTCTTTTCTATTGTATTTTTACTCTCTATTTCATCTATTCCTGTTCTGATCTTTGTATTTTTCTTTCCTTCTATTAAATTTGGGCTTAGTTTGTTTTTCATTTTATAGTTCCTTGAGGTGTAAAGTTAGGTTGTTTATTTGCAATCTTTCATTTTTCTTATGGATGGAGGTGTTAATTGCTAAAAACTTGACTCTTAGAACTGTCTTTGCTGCATCCCATAAGTTTTGGTACATAGTTTTCATTTGTCTCAAAATATTTTAATTTTCAATTAAATTACTTGCCTCAAGTTATATTCTGACTTCTCCTTTGATTTCTTCTTTGATCCATTGGTTGTTCAGTGGCATGTTTTTTAATCTCCATGTATTTGTGAATTTTCCAATTTTCTTCTTGTAATTGATTTCTAGTTTCATATCACTTTGGTTGGAAAAGATGCTTGGTATGATTTCCATATCCTTAAATTTATTAAGACTTGTTTTGTGGCCTAACATGTGATCTGTCCTGGGGAGTGTCCCATGTGTGCTTGAGAAGAATGTGTATTCTTTTGCTTGGAATGTTCTGTAAATGTCTGTTAAGTCAATCTGATCTAATGTGTAATTTAAGTCCAGTGTTCCTTATGATTTTCTGTGTGAATGGTCTATCTATTTTTGAAAGTGGGGTATTAAAGTCCCATACTATAATTGTATTGCTGTTGATTTCTCCCTTCAGGTCTGTTAATATTTGCTTTATATATTTAGGTGCTCCTATGTTGGTCGCATAAACCTTTTTTATTTTCAATTGTTTTATAGTATTCTATTGTATGAGTGAATCATAATTTGTATAACCAATCCTTTATTGATGGACATCTAATTTTTCCCTGTCCTTTGCTAGTATAATGATCAATACTGTCAAAAAAAATCCATTTACATGTGCTTTAAAAAAAATTGAATGCATCAATATGCTGTCTTCACAGTTCACATTGGTTTCTTTAAATGTCTTGTTCTTTCTTTCTCATTGGAATTACTTGCAATTGTTTAATCCAGATTTTAGATGTTAGATTTTTTTCTCTTCCTTAAACCATATTCCCCCATTTCAAAAGTTTTACTCACCAGATACATATGGGTGTGGATATTCATATATATCTTATGTTTTCCTGAATTTCTGGTTGTGACACTGTGTCTTTAGTTGCTAATGGGAACTCCAAGATGACATGATTATTTTCTTCCATGATTCCTGTCACTCTTTTCTTTTTTGATCTCAGTTCAATCAGAGTGATTTAAGCAACCTTCCTTGTTGCTTCCTTAACTGTCAGTACTTCTGAGAAAATATAATTATATCAAGTTAATAATTCATTAAATAGTATATGGAAATTATATATAATTAACTGTATTTAAATTATGATTATATTTTTCAAAGTCAACTTTATGTATGAAAAGGAGTCCATACTAGACAATGCACCACAATGTTAAAGAGTGGTTGTATTTGGTGATAGGATGAAAAGTGATTAATTTTCTTTGTTTTTCTGTGTTTACCAGATTTTTTTTTAAAATGTGTAACTTTTAAACTTAAAACAAAAGTTTAAAAAATATGTTAGATATTCTGCTTTTAGAAAAATTATATTTTCAGCAAATGTTTGGATGATTGAAAATTTCCCAGCTTTTAGAAAAGTTATATTTTCAGCAAATGTTTGGATGATTGAAATTGTGCTAATTTGGGAAACTATGTTAGGAAAATAATGTCCATATCCTCAGGCTGGCCCATGATCTATTGCCTCTTTTCAAGATGATATAATGTCTGTTTTTCTTTTGTTTTGTTCTTGTCCAAGAGTGCTCCACAATCTCAGAATAAACCAAAAACCATCATGCACTAAGATGTGTGCACCTACATACACATGCATGCATCTCCCTCACACTCACACACTTTCTCTCTCACGTACACAAACACACACACAACTACTCATCAGAAGTTCTCTATTAGGCCTGAAAGCAGGCAGCACTAAGGCCAACTACAAATATTATTCATCAAATCTGGACACATTTCTTCAGGTTTTTCTGGTAAACATAGGTAGAACCTGATTGTAGAGGAGAATATGTTTAGCCACTAGATACAGACTGAAGATATTTTGAAAAAGTTATATTCATGAATGCTGCATCGAAATTGTGATATGCAGAGAGAAGTTCTTAAATAGTGCCAAAACTATAACATATTAATAGGAGACTGGATTATGTCTACAGGGCACTTGTTTTGTGTAAGTTATAAAACTTAAAGTCAAGAGGATTTCTCATTTGTGAGACCCTTGTGTAAGGACATGTAAACATTCCTTTGCATTTATAAAGAGAAAGCTGGTTTCTATGCAAAAGATCCTTTGAATTTAAAAAGACAAAGTCTGATTTCTATGGTTATTTTCCTAGTAAATTTGCCATATTAAACATACAACTTTTGGGAATTCCTTGGTGGTCCAGTGGTTAGGACTCCATGCTTCCACTGCAGGGGGCACAGGTTCAGTCCCTCCCTGGGGAACTAAGATCACGCATGCTGTGCAGCACAGCCAAAAAAAATACATAAATAAGCAAACATACAACTTTTATCTGGATTCAGACCTGAGAATTTTGTGTTATTACTTCTAGGGATGCTGTATATCATCCTGATAGCTTTGCTGTCTACTTAGGGACCTTTGTGGGTTATACAGAAGTAGAGTGGCTAGACCAGTTTTGAAAATTAAAAGATTTTCTCATCCAAGCCAAATTTTAGAGTGTGGTGATTAAGAACCTGGGCTCTGATGATAGATCTCATTTCAAATCGCAGATCTACAATGTATTAGCAGTGTGACTTTGGGTAAGTCGTTTAACCTTTTTAAAGATCCATTTCCTTCCCATTTAATTTTGAGAGCCAAACAGGATAATACATGTAAAGCATTGAGCAGTGCCTATCATACTCAATGAATGTGAGCTACATAATAATTGTTATTACTGTGAGTACCAGTAATACTATAAAGGGCTACCTGGATGTACCTTCTCATCCCCAGTGCTCTCAACTCTGGATCACATTCTGTAGAGCCATGGGAACTTGCCTCAGGCCATGCCTCCCTGATGATTACCTTCTTCTACTTGATCAATTCTGCTTTGTCCAGGCAGGGGAATTACACAAACAGCAAAGTGGTCATTTACTAGGAATGCTGTAAGCTTCAGCACGGCTTTAACGTTGATGGACAGAAGCATCTCTGAAGCACATTAGTAATTTGGTTTAAAAGAAAAAGCTGAATATTAAAAAGTGGGCATAGCCCAAAGTTACTGTAGGCATTTTCAAAGCATTTGAGAATGTTTTAGAAGTTATCTATAGTCCAGGTACAGCACAAACCTCTTTCTCTTTAACATACAGCCCATGGGACATAAAGAGACTCTCTCTGCACTTATGAAAGCAGTTCTTATGGGTCAGTTCCATTTCTCATTTGAAAGGAAAACTGCACCTGGGCAAGGCTTTCCTGGTAACAGAAGCCAAAGGCAATGTTTGGATCTACCATTAAATTAGAGACTGTTGGAAATTCTAGAAACAAAAACCCCATTTGTTCCAGAAATAGCACTATTTAAAGAGTGCCTGGCACACAGTAGGTCCTCAAATTATATCTGGTGAGTGAATGAATGAATGAACAAAAGGATGGATGAGGAGGTAACTTGGTGGTGTCTCTCTTTGTATTTTGACTTCAGAGGCACCAGAAACTGTTCAGCCAGGTGCCACGGCCCAGCCTGCCAGCTCACATTCTTTGCCACACATTAAGCAGCAGCTGCGGAATGAAGACTGCTACCACGGCAAGCTGAGCAGGAAAGCAGCAGAGAGCCTCTTGGTAAAGGATGGGGACTTTTTGGTTCGAGAGAGTACAACATCTCCTGGCCAGTATGTGCTGAGTGGGCTACAGGGAGGCCAGGCAAAACATCTTCTCCTGGTGGATCCCGAAGGCAAGGTATTATTGACCCCCATTAGAGTTTCACAGGATCTTGTGATTCAGGTTACTCTGAGTGATAGGTCTAAAGCCTGATACTGAAGAGTATTTAAGGTTAAGGGTTTACTTTTTCTTGAACCCTCCAGCTAGAGCAGGAAGTGGTAAATAGAGGCTAGTGGAGGGGTTTGAGTGGGAGCCACCCTAGAGGATCACTTGGAGGACAGCCTCTTTCTGCCCTTCTCAGTGCAGTTCAGTGAGTTAAATGAATACCTCCTACATGGAAGTACGGGGATTCACACTTAACTATTGATCAGTATCACATACAGAGTCCTTGCTCTCAGGGTGCTTATAATTTCACAAGACGATGCTTAAATAATTATGGATGAATAACATAAGAATGGTTCAACCAAAGCATTATGGTGTTTCTCAGGATAGAAGGGGGTGCTCCGCTTGAGGCAAACTGAAAAGGCTTCTTGCAGGGTCTGACATGTAAGAGGAACCTTGAAAGAGGGCAAAAGTTTTAAAGGGAGACATTTGGAGCATAAGGAAGGAATCACAGGAGCAAACAGAGCGGTAGAATGGTATTAAATAAAAGAGGTATGGCTAGAGCGGAGGATACCTGTAGACAGAAATGATCCTGGACAAAAAACAATTATCAAACTCGTAATAGTAAGTTCTTCTCTATAAATAATTACTATAAATTTAAGTGGATTAAACTTCCCAAACAAAAGATGCAGAATAACTGGATGGAGAGCTAAATGGACAGGATCCAACTACATGTGCTATTTATAGGAGGCTCACTTTAGATTTAAGGACACACATAGGCTGAAAGTGAATGGATGGAAAAAGATGTTACATGCAGATAATAACCAAAAGAGAGCAGAGGTGGCCATGCTTCTAGGAGGCAAAATATTTGTAGGAATATATATGATAGAATGTATCAAAAAGTAACATGGCAAAAAGGTTGCTTGCAAATTTGGATTGGGTGACAGTGTTTACCATTTTCCTAACTGGGAATGACAGTTGCTTTAAAAAGGTAATGGTGGGGGGGACCTTAAAGATGGCAGAGGAGTAAGACGTGGACATCACCTTCCTTCCCACAAATACATCAAAAATACATCTACATGTGGAACAACTCCTACAGAACACCTCCTGAATGCTGGCAGAAGACCTCAGAATTCCCAAAAGCAAGAAACTCCCCATGTACCTGGGTAGGGCAAAAGAAAAAATAAAAATCAGAGACAAAAGAATAGGGACGGGACCTGTACCTCTGGGAGGGAGCTGTGAAGGAGGAAAAGTTTCCACACACTAGGAAGCCCCTTCACTGGAGGAGACGGGGGGTGGATCGGGGGGAAGCTTCGGAGCCATGGAGGAGAGCGCACCAACAGTAGTGTAGAGGGAAAAGCGGAGAGATTCCTGCACAGAGGATCCGTGCTGACCAGCACTCACCAGCCTGAGAGGATTGTCTGCTCACCCGCCAGGGTGGGTGGGGGCTGGGAGCTGAGGCTCGGGCTTCGGAAGTCAGATCCCAGGGAGAGGACTGGGGTTGGCTGAGTGAACACAACCTGAAGGGGGCTAGTGCGCCACAGCTAGCCAGGAGGGAGTCCACGAAAAAGTCTGGAACGCCTAAGAGGCAAGAGACCATTGTTTCGGGGTGCGCGAGGAGAGGGGATTCAGAACACTGCCTGAACAAGCTCTGGAGACGGGCAGGAGACACGGCTATCAGCATGGACACCAGAGACGGCCATGAAATGCTAAGGCTGCTGCTGCAGCCACCAAGAAGCCTGTGTGCAAGCACAGGTCACTCTCCACACCTCCCCTACTGGGAGCCTCTGCAGCCCACCACTACCAGGGTCCCATGATCCACAGACAACTTCCCCGGGAGAACACGTGGTGCACCTCAGGCTGTTGCAACGTCACGCTGGCCTCTGCCTCCACAGGATCGCCCCGCATTCTGTACCCCTCCCTCCACCTGGCCTGACTGAGCCAGAGGCCCCTAATTAGCCACTCCTTTAACTGCCTCCTGTCTGGGTGAAGAGCAGAAACCTGAGGGCGACCTACATGAAGATGCGAGGCGAAATCCACAGCTGAACCCAGGAGCTGTGCGAACAAAGAAGAGAAAGGGAACTCTCTCCCAGCAGCCTCAGGAGCAGCAGATTAAATCTCCACAATCAGCTTCATGTACCCTGCATCTGTGGAATACCTGAATAGACAACGAACCATCCCAAAATTGAGGTGGTGGACTTTGGGAGCAACTGTAGACTTGGGGTTTGCTTTCTGCACCGAATTTGTTTCTGGTTTTATGTTTATCTTAGTTTAGTATTTAGAGCTTATTATCATTGGTAGATTTGTTTATTGATTTGGTGGCTCTCTTCCTTTTTTTTTAATATAGATATATGTATATATATATATATATATGTATATATATATATATTTTTTTTCCTTATTCTCTTTTTGTGAGTGTGAATGTTTATTCTTCTTTGTGTGATTTTGTCCGTATAGGTTTGCTTTTACCATTTCTCCTAGGGTTCTGTCTGTCCATTTTTTTTTTTTTAGTATAGTTTTTAACACTTGTTATCATTGGTGGATTTGTTTGTTAGTTTGGTTGCTCTCTTCTTTCTTTTTTTTTAATTTATTTTTATTTTTTTAATTACTTTTTAGTTTTTTTATTTTAATAAAATTTATTTTTTATTTTAAAATTTTTATTTATTTATTTATTTTCTTTCTTTCTTTTTTCTCTCTTTTCTTCTGAGCCTTGTGGCTGACAGGGTCTTGGTGCTCTGGCCAGGTATCAGGCCTGAGCCTCTGAGGTGGGGGAGCCAAGTTCAGGACATTGGTCCACCAGAGACCACCTGGCCCCACGTAATATCAATTGGTGGAGCTCTCCCACAGCTCTCCGTCTCAAAGCTAAGACCCAGCTCCACTGAACGACCAGCAAGGTCCGGTGCTGGACACCACATGCCAAACAACTAGCAAGACAGGAGCACAACTCCACCCATTATTAGAGAGACTGCCTAAAATCATACTACGTTCTCAGACACCCCAAAACACACCACCGGACGCGGTCCTGCCCACCAGAAAGACAAGATTCAGCCTCATCCACCAGAACACAGGCAGCAGTCTTGTCCACCAGGAAGCCTACACAACCCACTGAACCAGCTTTACCCACTGGGGGCAGACACCAAAAATGGGAACTATGAACCTGCAGCCTGTGAAAAGGAGACTGCAAACACAGTAAGTTAAGCAAAATGAGAAGACAGGGAAACACACAACAGATGAAGGAGCAGGGTAAAAACCACCAGACCTAACAAATGAAGAGGAAATAGGCAGTCTACCTGTAAAATAATTCAGAGTAATGACAGTAAAAGTAAAGATGATCCAAAATCTTGGAAATAGAATTGAGAAACTATAAGAATGGTTAAATAAGGACTTAGAAGAACTAAAGAGCAAACAAACAATGATGAACAACACAATAAATGAAATTAACGATTCTCTAGGAGGAATCAATAGCAGAATAACTGAGGCAGATGAATGGATAAATGACCTGGAAGATAAAATAATGCAAACAACTACCGCAGAGCAGAATAAAGAAAAAAGAATGAAACGAATTGAGTACAGTCTCAGAGACCTCTGGGACAACATTAACTGCACCAATATTCGAATTATAGGGGTCCCAGAAGAAAAGAAAAGAAAGGGACTAAGAAAATATTTGAAGAGATTACAGTTGAAAACTTCCCTAATATGGGAAAGGAAATAGTCAATCAAGTCCAGGAAGCACAGAGAGTCCCATACAGGATAAATCCAAGGAGAAACATGCCAAGACACATATTAATCAAACTCAAAAATTAAATACAAAGAAAAAATATTGAAAGAAAGGGAAAAGCAACAAATAACGTACAAGGGAATCCCCATAACGTTAACAGCTGATCTTTCAGCAGACATTCTGCAAACCAGAAGGGAGTGGCAGGACATATTTAAAGTGATGAAAGGGAAAAACCTACAACCAAGATTACTCTACCCAGCAAGGATCTCATTCAGATTCAATGGAGAAATTAAAACCTTTACAGACAAGTGAAAGCTAAGATAGTTCAGCACCACCAAACCAGCTTTACAACAGATGCTAAAGGAACTTCTCTAGGCAGGAGACACAAGAGAAGGAAAAGACCTACAATAACAAACCCAAAACAATGAAGAAAATGATAATAGGAACATACATATTGATAATTACCTTAAATGTAAATGGATTAAATGCTCCAACCAAAAGACATAGACTGGCTGAATGGATAAAAAAACAATATTTGCTGTCTACAAGAGACCCACTTCAGACCTAGGGACACATACAGATTGAAAGTGAGGGGATAGAAAAAGATATTCCATGCAAATGTAAATCATAAGAAAGCTGGAGTAGCATTTCTCCTATCAAACAAAATAGACTTTAAAATAAAGACTATTACAAGAGACAAAGAAGGACACTACATAATGATCAAGGGATCAATCCAAGATGAAGATACAACAATTGTAAATACTTATGCACCCAACATAGGAGCACCTCAATACATAAGGCAAATGCTAACAGCCATAAAAGGGGAAATCGACAGTAACATAGTCATAGTAGGGGACTTTAACACCCCACTTTCACCAATGGGCAGTTCATACAAAATGAATATAAATAAGGAAACATAAGTTTTAAATGATATTTTAAACAAGATGGACTTAATTGATATTTATAGGTCATTCCATCCAAAAACAACAGAATACACTTTCTTCTCAAGTGCTCATGGAACATTCTCCAGGATAGATCATATCTTGGGTCACAAGTCAAGCCACAGTACATTTAAGAAAATTGAAACCGTATCAGGTATCTTCTGTGACCACACCGCTATGAGACTAGATATCAATTACAGGAAAAAAATCTGTAAAAAATGCAAACACATGGAGGCTAAACAATACACTACTAAATAACCAAGAGATCACTGAAGAAATCAAAGAGGAAATAAAAAAATACCTAGAAACAAATGACAGTGAAAACGCAATGACCCAAAACCTATGCGATGCAGCAAAAGCAGTTCTAAGAGGGAATTTTATAGCAATACAACCTACCTCAAGGAAAAAGAAACATCTCAAATAAACAATCTAATCTTACACCTAAAGTAATTAAAGAAAGAAGAACAAAAAACCTCCAAAGTTAGCAGAAGGAAAGAAATCATAAAGATAATATCATAAAATAAAATCATAAAGAAATCATAAAGATCAGATCAGAAATAAATGAAAAAGAAATTAAGGAAACGATAGCAAAGATCAATAAAACTAAAAGCTGGTTCTTTGAGAATATAAACAGAATTGATAAAGCATTAGCCAGACTCATCAAGAAAAAAAGGAAGAACACTCAAATCAATAGAATTAGAAATAAAAAGGAGAAGTAACAACTGACACTTCAGAAATACAAAGGATCGTGAGAGATTACTATAAGCAATTCTATGCCAATAAAATGGACAACCTGGAAGAAATGAACAAATTCTTAGAAAAGCACAACCTTCTGAGACTGAACCAGGAAGAAATAGAAAATATAAACAGACCAATCACAAGCACTGAAATTGAGACTGTGATTAAAAATCTTCCAACAAACAAAAGCCCAGGACCAGATGGCTTCACAGGTGAATTCTATCAAACATTTAGAGAAGAGCTAGCACCTATCCTTCTCGAACTCTTCCAAAAAGTTGCAGAGGGAGGAACACTCCCAAACTCATTCTACGAGGCCACCATCACCCTGATACCAAAATCAGACAAAGATGTCACAGAAAAAGAAAACTACAGACCAATATCACTGATGAACATAGATGCAAAAATCCTCAACAAAATACTAGCAAACAGAATCCAATAGCACATTAAAAGGATCATACACCACGATCAAGTGGGATTTATCCCAGAGATGCAAGGATTCTTCAATATACACAAATCAATCAATGTTATAAACCATATTAACAAATTGAAGGATAAAAACCATATGATCATCTCAGATGCAGAAAAAGCTTTTGACAAAATTCAACTCCTATTTATGATAAAAACCTTCTAGAGAGTAGGCATAGGGGGAACTTACCTCAACATAATGAAAGCAGACATGATAAACCCACAGCCAACATCATTCTCAATGGTGAAAAACAAACCATTTCCTCTAAGATCAGGAACAAGACAAGTTTGTCCACTCTCACCACTATTATTCAACATAGTTTTGGAAGGTTTAGCCACAGCAATCAAAGAAAAAGAAATGAAAGGAATCCAAATCAGAAAAGAAGAAGTAAAACTGTCACTGTTTGCAGATGACATGACACTATGCATAGAGAGTCCTAAAGATTCTACCAGAAAACCACTAGATCTAATCAATGAATTCAGTAGAGTAGCAGGATACAAAATTAATGCACAGAAATCTCTTGCATCCCTATACACTAATGATGAAAAATCAGGAAGAGAAATTAAGGAAACACTCCCATGTACCATTGCAGCAAAAAGAATAAAATACCTAGGAATAAACCTACCAAAGGAGACAAAAGACCTGTATGCAGAAAACTATAAGACACTGATGAAAGAAATTAAAGATGATACAAAGAGATGGAGAGGTATACCATGTTCTTGGATTGGAAGAATCAACATTGTGAAAATGACTATACTACTAAAAGCAATCTATGGATTCACGGCAGTCTTTCTCAATCTACCAATGGCATTTTTCACAGAACTAGAACAAAAAATTTCACAATTTGTATGGAAACACAAAAGACCCCCAATAGCCAAAGCAATCTTAAGAAAGAAAAACGGAGCTGGAGGAATCAGGCTTCTTGACTTCAGACTATACTACAGAGTTACAGTAATCAAGACAGTATGGTACTGGCACAAAAAAAGAAATATAGATCAATGGAACAGGATAGAAAGCCCAGAGATAAACCCATGCACATATGGTCACCTTATCTTTGATAAAAGAGGCAAGAATATACAAAGGAGAAAAGACAACCTCTTCAATAAGTGGTGCTGGGAAAACTGGACAGCTACATGCAAAATAATGAAATTAGAACACTCCCTAACACCATACACAAAAATAAACTCAAAATGGATTAAAGACCTAAATGGCCGGACACTTATAAAACTCTTAGAGGAACACATAGGCAGAACACTCTATGACTCTCTATGAACACTCTATAACACTCTATGACATAAAACACAGCAAGATCATTTCTGACCCACCTCCTAGATAAATGGAAATAAAAACAAAAATAAACAAATGGGACCTAAGAAATTTAAAAGCTTTTGCATAGCAAAGGAAACCATAAACAACACGAAAAGACAACCCTCAGAATGGGAGAAAATATTTGCAAATGAAGCAATTGACAAAGGATAATCTCCAAAATATACAAGCAGCTCATGCAGCTCAATATCAAAAAAAACAAACAACCCACTCCAAAAATGGGCAGAAGACCTAAATAGACATTCTCCGAAGAAGATATACAGATTGCCAACAAACACACGTAAGGATGTTCAACATCACTAATCATTAGAGAAATGCAAATCAAAACTACAATGAGATATCATCTCACACGGGTCAGAATGGCCATCATCAAAAGATCTACAAACAATAAATGCTGGAGAGGGTGTGGAGAAAAGGGAACCATCTTGCACTATTGGTGGGAATGTAAATTGATACAGCCACTATGCAGAACAGTATGGAGGCCTTAAAAAACTGAAACTAGAACTACCATACGACCCAGCAATTCCACTACTGGGCATATATCCTGAGAAAACCATAATTTAAAAAGAGTCATGTACCACAATGTTCATTGGAGCTCTATTTACAATAGCCAGGACATGGAAGCAACCTAAGTGTCCATCGACAGATGAATGGATAAGATACAGAAGATGTGGCAGATATATACAGTGGAATATTACTCTGCCATAAAAAGAAACGAAATTGAGTTATTTGCAGTGAGGTAGATGGACCTAAAGACTGTCATATAGAGTGAAGTAAGTCAGAAAGAGAAAAACAAATACCATATGATAGCACATATATATGGAATCTAAAAAAAAAAAATGGTTCTGAAGAACCTCGGACAGGAATAAAGATGCAGACACAGAGAATGGACTTGAGGACATGGGGAGGGGGAAGGGTAAGCTGGGACGAAGTGAGAGAGTGGCATGGATATATATACACTACCAAATGTAAAATAGCTAGTGGAAAGCAGCCGCATAGCACAGGGAGATCAGATCGGTGCTCTGTGACCACCTAGAGGTGTGGGATAGGGAGGGTGGGAGGGAGACACAAGAGGGAGATATGGGGATACATGTATATATATAACTGATTCACTTTGTTATACAGCAGAAACTAACGCACCATTGTAAAGCAATTATACTCCAATAAAATGTAATTGGGGGGACTTTCCTGGTGGTCCAGTGGTTAAGACCTTGCCTTCCAATGCAGGCAGGTGTGGGTTCGATCCCTGGTCAGAGAGCTAAGATTCCACATGCCTCGGGGCCAAAAAAAAAAAAAAAAAAGGAAATATAAAACAGAAGCAATATTGTAACAAATTCAATAAAGACTTTAAAAATGGTCCACATCAAAGGAAAAAAAATCTTAAAAAAAATAAATTAAAACAAATGCAATTGGGAATGAGAAAATTGTTTACTAAGGGATCCAGAATTGAAAAGTATCTTTATTTTTCTTTATTCAGCAGTTACCTCATTCAAGGATATGTCTGTTTTTACCCTATGATTGTTTATGCGTTTCAGGAGAACCATTATCATTTAACCTAAATACATTTGTATTTCCTTTTCAAGGTGAGGACCAAGGATCATGTATTTGATAATGTTGGCCACCTTATCAGATACCACATGGATAATAGTTTGCCAATCATCTCTTCTGGAAGCGAAGTAAGCCTTAAACAACCAGTGAGAAAAGATAATAATCCAGTAGTTTTGCATTCCAACAAATGACAGTATGGAAGTACCGTCACACTGATACTTCAGGAAAGTCCATTTTGTATTAGGACACAAAAATAATTCACACTTGGTTTCTAGATAAATTAGAGCACAAACTGCGAAGTGTATCTTTCTGAGACCATCATGGACTAGGTCCTTTATAAAACAAAGAACTAACAAAAATTGATCTTCAGAAAGTGAAAATCAGAAAAGGGGAAGAGGATGGGTCCCTTTGAAAAGAAAGTATACATATGCACGGATGTCACTTTTTAAGGCCATATTGCATTGATAACAAACTAAAAAAAGCACAATTAAAATTTCACGTGCTGAAGACAACTTGAATGAACTGCTGGGGCAGTGGTATGTGCCTTTCAACTTGATAATTTGGGGACATTTTCATATTGGGGAGATTAGTTCTAAATGTCTTCATATTCTATAACTATAAAAACATTTGCCAAAAAAGTTTTTCCTTGTTATAAAAATAAGAAGCCATTTGCTTAATAGTTATTGACTTTATTACATTTTCTGTTTGGTAACCCTTTCACCTCAGTGTTAAAATAAATTTGACATTGAATTTGGACTGTGTCTATACCAGTGGAATCAAATCAAGGGCCACTGAAAGCATTGGTCAGTTTCATTGGCCTGTCCCATTTGCCGTTTAAAGGGCTGGAGCCCAAATGTTTTGTCCTAGTATTTCTCAATCTTTGCTATTCGGACTGTTTGTATGCAACATATGACAAACTAAAGAAGCCAAATCTATGTCATTTCTGATTTCATCGTATTTCTCCCGCCTTGCCTCTCCCCCTCACCCTTCCCCCCAAAAAAGAGCTCATGAGTGCATGGATTTAAAAGATGGCAAACAAACCAGTGTTCTTCATATTCAGTCTCCAAATTGGTTCCATTCTTATTTAAAGCACCGAATTTATTTTAAAGTATGGGGAAATATCCCCTTGATTGGCGGTGACTGAATCATAGGCCCTCATCTACATGTATCCTTAGCACCTTTTCTAGATATGACCAGGCACAATGTACCAGGGAGAAAACACTGAATGAAACAATTGGAAAGGTTTGACACATGCAGGCACACTTGGTAAACCAACGATGTAATGAAGCGTTGTTTAAGCAAAAGCACTGGACTGGGCCTCATTGTGACCTTGAGCAACTTGCTGAACCTGTCTGGACTCCAGTTTCCTTGTCTATAAAATGAGGGAGCTGGGCTAGGTGAATTCATAGGTCCATTTCAGCCCTAACATAATATGAATTTATAAAAGGCAGATTTTTCATTTATTAGGGGTCAGTGTTGATAACCAGTCTGTATAATTAAGCTTGAAACTGCAACTTTTTCCTTTAGTCTGTGTCTGTGCTCATTGAGATCATCATTCAGATAGCAGAGATCTGGAGGCTTTCAGTCAAAAACACTGAAACTTTGGAAAAATATAAGTGATGGTAGTAGAAGTAGATTTGGTTATTTTGAGTGGCAGAAAACGGCTTCGGTCTCAGCCCTCTACCTGCCTTTGCATATAGAGATATGGCCATTATTTTAGAGTTTTTTGTGTTTATTTTTTTTATCTTGAGTTATCTGGACAATTGCCTTAATTCCACTTCACTTTGGCTGTGTAGATACAACTTAATCTTTGTAATTGTGAAACGTTTGCTAAGTTTTAAGTAAAATGAGAGAAACTTCTTTCACAGAGAAATCATCAGAAACCAAGCACACTGAACTCTAGTATTTTTATGTGAAGGTTTATGCTTTTAATTTACTTTTACTGCCATTGGCTTCTTAGATAGGTTTGTTTCCTTTTATACAACTAGGAAATAATGTATGTTTCCTCAATTTTGCATACACTGTAGTTCTTGATTATTTGTCCTCGTAAAGGGGATGAGCATGGGTGTAAATCAGCGAAGTTTATGGGTGATCTTATTATCTTAACAGAGACAGAGCAGGGCTGTGGTCTCCTTCTGGTTGAGCAGAGTGATAACTGGGTGGCCAGAAGAAGTTCTTGATAGAAGATGATGCAAAGAGTATAGCTGGCCTGAGCAGGACACATAGATGGTCAGTGTTTGACTGTAACGGTGTGGTAGTTGGATGAGCAAACACCACACTTGCAACAACGGGCACAGTTAAAGGGAAACAACAAAAGAAGTGTTTGCCTGCATGCTCTTTTGATGTCACATCCTTATCTTCATCTGTCTTAAGGTGGAAATCCATTTGTATATAAATACCTGTAAACAACTTAAAAAAAATAAATGGTTATTGCTTTGTGATGACTGACAGTATATGTCTGTTGTTTGGGATTTGGAAAATTTATCATCTGTAGGATGTATCAGGGTCCTGACAGGAAACAGCTGGCTCACTTAAATTAGGTGACTAGAGGAGAGTTTGATAAAGGGACTATTGACAAAGGTGTGGGCGAAGTATGGAGAAGCCACAAGGGAGGATGCAGTGGTCTTCAACCAGTGAAGGAGTAGGGGAGGGAGCAGTAACAGAATCTGGTGGGAGAGCTGTGTGAAAAGGCTGCCTTTTAGGAGCTGTGGCCTACAGAGGAGGCACTTAACCAGCCCTGGGGACTCCACTGGGAGGAGGCTAAGGGGCATTATGCTCAGTGGACGAAGGATAGCCTTTCAGCAAATGATGCTGGAGCAGCGATATATCTGTAGGCAAAAGAATGAACCTCACACTTTATGTAAACATTAGCTCAAATGGATTATGGACTTAAGTGTGAAATGTAAAACTGTGATAACTTTTAGGAAAGAACAACATAGAGGAAAGTCTTTAGGATATAAGGCAAGGCAAAGAGTCCTTAGACATGATCTGTTAAAGGAAAAACTGGTATGTTGTACTTCATCAAAAGTACACATTTTTGGGAATTCCTGGTGGTCCAGTGGTTAGGACTTTGCACTCTCACTGTTGAGGGCCTGGGTTCAATCCCTGGTTGGGGAGCAAGCCAAAAAAAAAAAAAAAAAGAGAGAGAAAAAAATACAAATTTTTGATCTGTGAAAGCTCTGATAAGAGGATGAAGGACAAGCTGTGGACTGGGAGGAAATATTTGCAAACCAAATGTCTAGAATAAATAAAAAGCTCTTAAAACTCAACATAAAAATTTGACTTAGAAAATGGGCAAAAAACATGCATAGACATTTCACTGAAGGTATACAGATGGCAAAAAGCAGGTGAAAATACATTCAACATCATTAGCCAGTAGGGAACTGCAAATTAAAACCACAATGAGCTATCACTATACACATAACAGGACGAGTAAATGAAAAATAATGACAACACTAAATGTTGGCTAGGATGAGAAGAAAGTAGATCACACATACATTCCTGGGGAGACTGTAAAATAGTGCAGCCAGTCCAAAAAGCAGTTTGGTAGTTTATTAAAAAAGTAAACATGCAACTGTAAACATTCAACCCAACAATTGTATTCCCATGCATTGATCACAGAGAAATTAAAACTTACGTTCACATAAAAACTTGTACAGGAGTGTTTATAGTAGCGCTGTTTGTAATGACCTAAAACTGGAAAAGTCTTCAATGTTCCTTCGGTGTGTGAATGTTATACAAACTGTGGTACATCCGTACCATGGAATACTACTCAGCAGTAAAAAAGAATGAGAAGATGAGATGCTGATACAATCACTTAGATGATCTTCAGAGAATATGCAGAGCAAAAACAAGCTAATCCCAAAAGGTTATATACCATAAAACTACAGTTATATAACATTCTTGAAATGTTGTTTCTATAAAATTATCGAAATGGAGAACAGATTAAGGAAGGAGTCAGTAGGAGAGAGGGACGTGAGTACAGTTGTAAAAGAGCAACATGAGGGATCCTTGTGTGATTGAATTGTTTTGAATCTTGACTGTATCAATGTGGATATCTTGGTCGTGTTACTGTACTACAGTTTTGTGAGGTGTTATCATTGGTGGAAGCTGGGTAAAGCTTACAGGAGATGTCCCTGTGTTATTTCTTGCAATCACATGTGAATCTACAATTTTCTGAAAATAAAAAGTTTAAGTTAAAACAAGTTGGGAGGTAAAAGTTAGATATGGCAAGAGATTTTAAGAAGATTGCCACTTTAACCCTTGGCAGAATCACCGAATATACTAAATCCACCGAACATGGTGGTTGGCTCATCTTCGTAGTCCCAGGTCCCATCCTTCTAGCACTAGGAGGGGCCATGTGGCTGAGCTGCATGAGAACACCTTCATCCTACTCAAATGTAAATGTTTGATGGCATCTCCAAAGGTACATTGATAAGATCAAAGGGTGGCAAACACAGACGGTCAGCTCTGTCCAGACCCCCTCAGATCCGCTGAGCCAATTCTGTGTGTTTAGCTCCTAACTCCCTGCACAGGTGACTGTTGATTCTAAGGACAACCTCAGGCTAGGGGAGCTGCTTTGGGTTACCAAGAGCCAGAAGTGCCCATGGACTTCCTCTTCCCCTCCCCTGGTGCAGGAACAGGAAGGCTCAGCCAATTGCCCCATCCTGATTACGCTCCAGAGCTCCCTGTAGGGTCAGGTTGGGGCCAGCACTTCTCCTGAAAACATATCCCTGCCTGGCTTCTTCCCCTTCCCTGTCCAGCTTCCTCACTCCCTAACAGCTTGCTCAGGGAAGCCCTTCCTTAGTAAATCATTTGCACTCATTTTCATCCCAAAGTTCACTTCTGGGAACCTGACCAAAGATAGAAGAATATCAAATAACTTTAAACATGTATCCCATTACTGGACAATAATATCTAAGTGTTCAAATACATTAACATTTTAAATAAATCCTATGATTTCTTATAAACGGTATCATTATGTTATATTTTGTTAATATCCATTGAACATGTTATGTAAGCATATAAAGTACACACCAGTTTTATAATCTTGTCTTGGTACTTCTTTCTTTCCTTTTTAATCTACTGTTTCAAGAAGCAGAAGCAGAGTGTGGCATCTGGGAGGGTCTGCATTCCACGTTCAAATATAATTTTTGCAGCTTTGGATCTTTATCAAACGGTCATCATCACTTTTCTAATAGCTTTTACTGGTTTTCTGATTAAAAACCTTGATGCTATGGAAATTCGTAAGCATTAAATCCAGGCAATTGGCTCTCACACTTTTGGCCGGAGAGCATTGAAGAGGCAAAAAGACTATTGTCCCACATACCTTTCATCCCCCAACTCCTTCTTTTTCTTGTTGTGAAAAATATGACGCAGTGACGATAAAGAACTAGAGAGGAACAACAGGAATTGTTTACTCACTTTTAGGGGAGGAATATGATACTGTTCCTATGATTTTATATTCCAAAATACTGCCCTATACATTTTTCAAAAAATGAGTAATTTTATCACTTGCCTTGATAATACATTGTTAGTTACTTAAATAGAATAAATTAATAGCCAACACATTTCAATAAAGCATAAGCAAAGTTCAGAGGAATTATAAATTGACTTTAGTAATAGATTACTAGTGACAAAAATTGAACCTCAACTTGGATATTAAAGTCGTTATAGGAAAAGTGTAAATTAACATATTAAAGCAGTTAACACTATGTGCAGTTAGGTTAACCAAACTCACAACAAACTTAATTGGTATCGATGGTGCCAAGCAAAGCTGGTTTATAATTAAGAAGCAGGAATAACAGCTCTTAAAAACCATGACTTCCTGGGAATGGTGCTATTAACATCCCTCTCCCAAAAGTGGGAATTTCAGTTATCTTCAAGTGTGCATGAACAGGAACTTTACAATGTTGCACATAGAAACGATGAATAATCCTTCTTGGTAAACTTAAATAACATGCTAACTTTAATTTACAAATTCTAAACATTAGTAGCCCCTAACATCTTACTTGGTAGATTCCTATTAGGTAAACCTTAGCTGTATGTAAAAATAAAAACCTATAAAATTGCAAGTTATTTTCCCATGATAACTGGAGAAACGACTTGTGTGTTTGTGTCATGTAATGACCCATCAGGAATATCCTTAAGGTCCATCAGTAGGCCATGGATCATGTTTGGAGAATCACTGGTCTAGACTTTTCAAATATAATCTGTCACAAATGCATCTTAGTCATAAACATTTGGTTGCGAAGAACGGAAACCCACCTGTATTAATTTCCTAGGGCTGCCTCAACAAAGTACCACAAACTAGCTTAAAACAGCAGAATTTTATTCTCTCACAGTTCTGGAGGCTAGAAGTCTGAAAATAACGAGTTGATAGGACCATGCTTCCTCAGAATGCTCTAGGGAAGAATCCCTTGCCAGTTTCTGGTGGCCCTGGATGTTCCTTGGCTTGTAGCAATGTAACTCCAGTTTGTTCCTCTGTCTCCACGTGGCTGTCTTCTCCTTGCATGTCTTTCTGTGTCCTTTCCTCTTCTTTTAAAGACACCAATCATTAGATTAGAGCCCATCCTCATCCAATATGACCTCATATTAACTAATTACATTTGCAAAGACTCTATTTCCAAATAAAGTCACATTCTGAGTTCTGGGTGGACATGAAATTTGGGGGAACGCTATTCCACCCCTTACAAGCTTATTCAAGTAAAAAGATGTTTTAAAGTTCAGATTATCACAGAACCAAGGAAAAGATGAACTGTCAGGCTTCATAAAGCACGGGAACCGGGCAGATCCATGGCTCTGAGTGGCAGAAGTTCATGATCGTCATCTGTGTTCCACCATATACATGACACAGCTATGGAAGAAGCATATTTCCCATAAAATACAGAAAATGTAATAAAAATCTGCTTCTGTAGGGTTACCACTTGACCCAGTTTCATGGAATCATTTCTGTTATCTGGGAAGGGAATATGATTGGCGCAGCTTGGGTCTGGTGCTCACGTTTGCCCCAATCAGGTATGGCCAGGTCTTTGAGTGGTGGGGAGGTGTTGGTGGTGAGGTCATAGTGGCTGAGGGCAGGTGTAGATTCTGTGATAAGTAGCTTAATCAGGGAAGGCATTTTGACACTTTATGTCATTATTAAGCCCCTAGAACAGTGCTTGGTACAAAGTAGATGCTCAAAAAATACTATTGAATATACAACAAATAATGGTTTGATATTCCTCAAATAACACTGTTAAATAGTGTTTCTACGTTTTTAAAGCTCTTTCACACAATCTTATTTCATCCTTTTTACAATCCTGCAAAGCAGTTATTATCACTCCTATTTTCAAATAAGACTTTGCTCCACAGAAGGATTAAATAAATTGTGGACAAAAGCTAGTAGGTAGGAGAGCTGGAACTTGAACTCAGATCTTCTTTAAGTTCAGTGCTTTTTTGAGGAT